AAGATCCACGTGAGCCTTCAGATTGCATCAAGCCTTTCTTTCAGACAGAGGAGACTTGCAAGTATTTCAAACTTAGTCTTATTAATTGATATATTAAGTATCAGTTACACCTTTTTACAAGGTGTGTTTGAACTGAGAATCTGACGTATCCCCAGGTGTAGATCTGCTGAATATGCAAATGGTTCTATAACTTCATTTCCTTATGTCTCTTCTCTGTACTGAGTTAAGCTTTAACCCTTTCCTATACCAACTGTATGCGTGTGTGTGCATGTGCATGTTAGACCAGTTTATGTAGTATGTTAGACTAGTTTAAGTGTTTATGTAGGTAATAAAGTCTTACTTGTATCACACTTGATGTTGTTCATTGTTTGCTCATAACTGGAGTCACTTAATCATGCAGATTTATGCTACAAGCTTTTGTAGAATTGTACAGTAAGGAAGTTATTTCCCTTAACCAGGAAATTAACGTTCTTAGAATTGACAAGACAGTTGACCCTGAGAGGTCAGCTAAATATCTACAGCGGATCTAAAATATTCATAATTAATCATAACTAGTTATGATTAATTATTCATATTTCCCATGAGCTGATTCCTTACACTACTTCTTATGTTTATAAATGCCAAACTCATATATGGTTGCACACTATTAAGTGTCTCATATTTGGTAGCCTATAAAGACTTTAAATTGCATAAGTATACAAACTAGAAGGGGACGTTCACAAAAGTGCATCCATGCACCCCATCTCCCACACAAAATAAAAGATATGCATGTCAATACGGGAATGTGATGAGATATATGCGGACTTTATCATCTATTATGTCATAATGTGTTCCAACGAATTGTGATTCATGCTCTCAGGTATTAAGACACAGCATGACTTGTAAATCATGATGTGAAATTGAGCAACGGCAGTAAATCGTGTCAGATGCAGTTTCCTGACCACATCATACTTGACCCGCACGCTTTGTTGAGCACTCTTGTGTGGCGTCGCGTCGTTTGCCGTATATTGTTATACATCCTCCACTGAACGATGATGGGGATTTTATTTCTGGAATACTTACTATCAAAACAAGGAATTCTGAAGGTCGCTCAGCTCGTAAGTGTTTCTTATCTACACCTATGCCACATGACAATATCAGACTACAGAACACGCCTTTCCGCGTTTTGTCAATTATAATATCCTATCATTCGTCATTGTGAATCGTAAGTTACTATAATACTAGCACAGAAACAGCACCGTGTGTTTGTGTGTGCAGGTGATTCTTCTTGTAGCGTTCGCTTGTGTTCGCTCCACGTGGTACACCAGTTTCTACGCTTACGGTTTCTTTGAAGGGGTCACGCTCGGTTACTCCATCACGGTCGCCGTTTTTCTATTCCTGACTGTATTTGGGGTTCCGAAAAGGGCACCATTTGTAAACTGGACGATAGCCGTGAGTATTGTTACTTGTAATAATTGCTACTCCATGTGTGATCACTGTTCTTACAAAAGCTCACAAGGAAATGATCAGTCGTTGACGGATAGCGACCTTTTGATGCATCAAACCCAGATTAAGCTTGTGTGATTTGTAGACACGTTCCAACAAACAAGCAAAGATGTTAAGTTGTTATTGGAACAAGGTAGCTAGTTGTCCAGCAAGTCTGTCCAAAACTAGTTACCAGCTGTATTTTCCATCCAGTGAAATCAAGGTTTTAGTTCAGTGCATGCATATATATAAAGGAAAAATGTTAAATTGGTAGACACTAAGGTAGTATTTTGTGGCAAACTTCAAATATTCGGTGTAGTGTCAATTAACGTCAGATAAAACCTGCATGCATGATAATTATACATGATAATTGTCAAAAAGTTGTTTCTATGGGTTAGTTATTTCTATGGAGTATAGCATGTCAAACAACCAGTCACGTTCCCATATTTGTTACCACACGTCAACTGCTACCCACATTATAATCATGATTTAGTATAAGTGTATATGATTATTCTATCATTCTGTTTGTTCTTCAAGGAGTTTGTGCTTGATACACTGGGATTCATCTTCATCTCCACTGGTTCCATTGTAGCTGCTGTGAAGTCTTATGACACCCCCATTCTGGTTGCCGCCTCAGTAAGGGCTTCTTCACAGTAAATGTTTATCAGCTTAGCCTAGTTTATTACAAAGGAATTGAAACTACAATGTACGTCAAAGACTGGTTTTGAGGTGGTGTTCTCATTTTTGCAGCATTTCATTTGCATGACTGCTTGTAATTGTGTCCCTGATAATATTCTAAGCTTTTCTGGTGTTTGTTTTTCAGGTGTGTGGTCTTCTGGCCTCATATCTCTCAGTTGTAAGTGTGGTACTTTCATTTGTTGCTGCTCGCCGCTCTCAACCTGAGGGTAAGTTAGGTACTGAGCGTGTTTTCAGTGTGTATTTCAACATATTTAGATAAACTGAACATAGCTGGATCTGCAAAACATTTTCAGGTGCTTTTGAATCCTGAACTGATTATCTGAAATGTTTTTCTGTTCCAGATCCACCAATATAAAAACATTGTCTTGATATTTATAGTCTAACTGCCCTCAACACAGGAGAGCATGGATGGGGAATTGATAAAGGGTACGGTTGTTTTAGTAAATTTACATGGAATAGAATATCACTTATTGGACACATGGCTTATTGCAGTCAGATGGTTTTAATACTATAATTACTATATAATATTTAATATTATAATACCCTATCAATAATTCACTGGTGCATACATTCTAACAAATGGTCTTTATTTTCAACATTTTGTTAATAATTTGTTTACAAAATGTATTATTACTAAAAATATTTTCCTGTGCACTTTTGTAATGTTAGTTGGTTTGGTGGCCAAACTTGTTTATCTAATGCTTTATGAAAGAAAACTGAATGTTGATAAATAAAAAACCAAATATACAGTTTGTAAAATGTTGAACTGTTTGGAACTTCTGTTCCAAAGAAGATCGGTTTTTGCTGAGACCACAGACTTCCCGTGTCGTAATGCTCTCCACCCACACAAAAGAACCTCACAGACAGCAGCCATTCCCAATAAATACAACTTTAATAGAATGATTACAGACCTGATCCAGAGAAACATCACTACATCTTGTGAAATTACAGGACCATATTAGCGTTTGTTTATTTCCCCCTCCCTCTCGTAAGAAGTTCGGTTGATGACTGTACATGCAGGTGAGGGTGATCTGAGATCTCACCTGCCCTGCCACCTCTGCCTCTCCCCCTCCCTTTCCATCACGGTACTAATTTCTAGCCGTTAAAGTCTCTAAACAGACAAATCACCTGCTGAATTTACTCATTTTGCTCAAACTTCCGCACACACACACACACACACACACACAAGACACACACATACACACACACACTCAAGACACACACACACCAATGAAAAGAGAGTAATACTGATCGTGTTTGCATGATCTCTAGTGCATCCATTAATAAACAGTGCCATAACCGGCTGTAGTTGAAAGATGAGAACACACATACACAGAAAAATCCAATTTTCAAGCTCCTTTGAACATAGAAAACAAACAATTTTTTTACACTGGACATAGTTGTCAGTCCCATCAATAGTCTTGATCAGCAGTTACACAGACGACTTCATAAACCATGTCTAAGCTAAAAACTCTCTCGCTCTCCAGTTAAATGCACTACTCTGCTACAGTCAGCATTGTAAGAGATCATTTTCAGTGTCATTGCCTACTATTGTGTAATAGTGTAATATTTAGATACTTTTAATTGTACGCAACAGATCACATCAATGGAGACTCTGTTGACAGTTTAACAGCAGCAAAAAAGGGGCTATGGATATTACAAAGCATTGAAATCATGTCAGTACATTTGTTCTGGTCCTGTGATCGATACACTTAAGAATAGGCCAGGTATTGAGAGTGCTAAAGATAGCCATTTAACAAACACCAACACAAGGTGACCACATCCAATGAATCGTTTGACCGAATCTCTCTCTGACTGAAATGAGATGTTTCCCTTTATTTTTATTTCATTTTTTTGTTCAGATGAGGCTTAGTAAGACGTTTAGATCAGTAAAAATGTGCGTTTGTTTATCAGAAGCCGAGTGACTTTTACTTTAGTCGAACAGGATCCTTCATATAAGATAATTCACTACCGAAAGCCAAGGAAAAATCTAACTTGCATACAGATACACTTAAGTTCACAAACCCCTTTCACTTTCTAATTCGGACTTCTCCCTACATCCCCATTTCCTCTATAATCCTCTCTTTTAGTGTCCAACGCTGATCTAGTGTCCTTCTACCACAACCCTGTCTCTATGGTTTTTTACGGACCCGTCCGCTGTACATGTGTGCGTGTGTGTGGAGACAGACATAGCAATCGCAATTTGCCCGACATGCAGCTTCAAGTCACTGGAATAAACAGGAATAAATCCCCCTTCTGAACAAGATCAAGAGGAAGAGTGAGGGAGAGGAAGGGAGGAGAGGTGGCAGAAGGGAGGCAGGTTCGGGGGGGGCGGAGAGAGCAGTGTCAAGGGGGAGGAGCTTGCCGGTGAATAATCCCTGCCTCTCATTCAGGATTCGTCGTTTTCGGCAGGGGGTGTGGTGGCGTTAGGGGCTGAGGAGTCCAGGTCAGATTTGTTGGCGATCCGGTCCAGCTCAGCCTGGACATCGGTCAACCCCAACTTGGAGCCTGAGAATGAACAAGATAAGATCAAACTGAATTATACGCTGGCCAAAATTCACATCACATTATTTGAAAGCAGTATTAACCAAAGCTTTAAAATAATATTTTGGGTTCAATACAAGTTAAGCTTCATCGACAGGATTTGTGGCATAATGTTAGTTACCCAAAAAATTATTTTGACTAAAAACAAAATAAATAAATAAAAAATAAAATTTAATAAACAAAAATAAAAAAAAGGGTTATGGGTGAAAGGAGGAAAATGGGACCAGTTCTTGGGAAATTTTTAAGTCAGAAATAAAACCTATAAAAGCACTTTCATTTTTCTGTTAAAATCTAAAGCTGTTCAAATCATTTTTGCGGTTGTTTTTGGATTTCGCGCGTTATGTTGCCGTTGTAAAACTGAATATAACTTTACACATAAATTTTAAGTAAGAGATTTCACAGTACATGGTTTTATATTAACATGTATATTGTTCACATTATGTGGCCCAATTCACTTCTATTACAAGTGCCTTAATGTAACCCAGATTTGAGCTTTTTTTTAAAGAAAAGAAGGGACAAGTCCAAAAATAAATTTTTGTGGTAGTAAACATTGTGTTTGTCGATTGGGATTCACTTGTTTTAAACCCAGAATATTCTTACATCAGTGAGAAGGGATGACAATACACTTAAAACCTTATAGCATGTCAGTGTTTGTGAGTCTGTGAGTGAATTATTTGGCTCAAGAGCAAGTGGGAAGCCCAAGTAAGAAAGAGCCTTTGCTTTTCCTATATCAATGTTAAGCAGAAAGATCAGAAATAAGAACTTTTTGATCTTGAAAGAGAAAAGTAAATACATAGCGATGGAATGAATGGAGATGAAAGACTGTCAATGAACCTTCACACAGACTCACACACGCATTCATGTTGAATTCTGCTTTTTTTTTTTTTTTAAACAAGGAAAATCCAGCCAACACAATAACATTAAGCATGCAGTAAAAACTTTACTAACTGACCATCTGCGTATTTAGTGCTTCAAAAGGTACAATTCACAATGCTAAGACAATGAAAAATTCAGAAATTATGCTTTAAGCCAAACAAAAGGCTTTGATCTGATGGGAATGTTATCACTGTTTAAAGGCTTATGTCTTAATTCATCAACAAATTAATTGCCTTGGTTTTTGACATGATTCTTAGCCTTTACAGTGCAGGCACCAAACAAACCCATCATTGAATTATTGTCATCTATGTTTAAATATTAGGCAGACACTTTTATCCAAAGCAAATAACATTGCATTTCAGATATATATATATTTTTTTATTTTTTATCAATTCATGCATTCACCAGCAGTTTCCTGCTCCAATATAGTGCAACTTAGAAGAGGTGCAGTCACACTAGTCTTTGTAACCTTCTGAACCAATCTATGATGATCTCTGAATCAATCAACAGAAGATATTTGACCAACAGAACATCTAAATATCACAGACTGAACACAAACTTGCTGCATATTCTGCAGTGTTGTGGGGTCAGAAGTAATTTCGCATACACAAAGCCTAGTGTGACCTCACCTAGAGATAAACTTCACCTGGGGTAAAACTAGTTGCTTAAGCAAATACAGTTCAAAAGTGTGGGGTCAGTAAGATTTTTATTATTATTATTATTTCACCAAGGATGCATTAAATTGAACATAAGTGGCAATACAGACATTTATAACAGAAGATTTAGAAAAATGAAAGAATCTTAAAAACCATGCATCACCATTTCCACAAATGCAAGCAGCATAATTGTTTTCAACATCAATATTAATAAGAAATGTTTCTTGAGCACCAAATCAGCATATTAACATGTTTTCAAAAGAATCATATGACACTAAAGACTGATGCTGAAAATTCAGCTGTCATCAGAGGAATAAATTACATTTTTAAATATTTTAAAATAGAAAACAATATTTCGCAATATTACTGTTTTTACTGTATTTTTGATCAAATAAATGCAGACTTGGTGGGCATAAGAGACTATTTTTTAAAATGTAAAAAAAAAAAAAAAAAAAGAGTGTTGTCAAACGATTAATCGCATCCAAAATAAAGGTTTTGTTTACATAATATATGGGTGTGTACTGTGTGTATTTATAATGTATATATAAATACAAACACATGCATGTATATATTTAAGAAGAATGTTATGTTTCTATATTAAATATATGTATATATAATATAATAATACAAATATATAAATGTATACACATGTAAACATTTTCAAAATATATACTGAATGCGTGTGTATTTATATATACATAAACAGTACACATACATATATTATGTAAACAAAAACTTTTATTTTGGATGTGATTAATCGCGATTAATTGTTTGACAGCACTAAAAAAAAAAAAAATCTTACTGACCACAAACGTTTGAATGGTAGTGTAAGTGCATGTCATTTACTTTTCAATTAGACACACTGAATGTAGTATTTATAGCAGAAATTGGGGGGGGGGGGGGGGGGGGGGAAAAGACAAGAA